CCTTGAACCAAAGGGGAATATTTCTGCTGTGGAGCAAAAGGAAGTTCTACTGTTCCAAAGCCAGGGGCTTTGGACAGCTTCCTGGGAGAGGAGCCAGTGGGGATGAGCCTTGATGGGCAGGAAAGGACTCTCTACTGCAAGAGAAGGAAAGACGTCACCCAGGATACAAAAGACAGGTGGGCTGGACTGTGGGGGCCATAAATGCCAAACTTAGAGGCTTGGAATGTATATAAAGTCAAGTCCTCAAGTCCCTCCTCAAATCCCTGTGTGACCACAGGCAAAGTATCCTGGTTTCCAGAACTTAGCTTTCCAACTGCTAAGATAAATGTGCCCTCTTCTGTGTTGTGATGTTGGGCACACACAGCAGAGCCTGGCTCCCAGCAGGCACATGGCACCAGCACTGTCCACCAAGGGGAGGAAAAGTATCCTGAGTAAGGCAGCCCCAGCAGCCTCCCCAGATCCTGGGGCCCAGTAGGAGGACATTCTCTGCAAGAACTTGGCCCAGAGGAGTCTGCAGGGGTCTCCCGAGCATGTGGATCCACCATCCCACCGCTCCACTCTCCTTGGTAGAGGAGGGCACAGAAGGCCCACCTTCAACAGGCTCTAGATGGCAGAGGGGGGACGAGCCCTAGTCCCTGGGCACAGAGGGAAGAGGTAAGAGAGAAGAGCCCACCTTTCCTCCCACATGCAGACCTGTATCGCCTCTAGGCCTTTTATAGCTTTCTTTAGAGGTATGTGGTGCCTTGACCACTTCTGCCTGCCAGGAAGCCAAGAACCACAAGTTGTCTGGGCAGGAAATCAGGAGGGGAAAGAATTCTGATCTCTGCTGGAGGCCCTCCTCCCAACCAAGCCATGTGACTTCTGAGCATTCACTCTGGTTCCAACTGCCACATATATGATAAGGTTTGAGGGGTAGGTCTCGGATGTGGTGGGATGATTGATGGTGACAGAGATCAATAGGACTATGTCTAGCTAGGGGTGATGCTGAATGGTGCTAACTAAGCAGTTAGGCCTGGAAGGAGGCACAAGCAAGAGGTCAGCCGGAGGCAGTCCCCTGCCCCTTCCCCCCATAAGCCTTCTCCTACAGCAGACAATTCCAACAATGCTCAGTACTCCAGTTCCTGCCAGTAGGACAGCAGTGATTGCTCAGGGTGGAATGGAGAGTGGCATGACTGAGGCAGAAGCTGGCCTTGGGAGAAAGCAGCTGAGTGTGAGTGAGGTCTGAGTGAACCAAGCTGGCAGTCAGGGACTAAGGAAAAGGGGAAGGGGTCTGTTCCTCCAGGGCCCACACAGAATGGTGACAGCTACAAGGACAGTAACTACAGCTCTTCCTGTTTTAAGAATGTCTGCTGCATTCCAGGTTCTGTGCTAAGCACTAGCTGCCATCTTGGGCAACCAGGGTTGAATGGATGGTCATGTAAGCCACCAGGCCTGGACTACAAGGAAGGGCAGCTTGTCATGGTCTGGAGGTTAGGCTACAAGATGAGGACAGGCCAACTTGGGACCTGGGGCCGAGCCCTGTAGAGGCAGAAGGACACCACACAGAATGCATGGCTCTCAGGGCCAAAGCTTTATGTTCAGAAGCTGTTTTCTGGCCTTACCCGGTCCCTCACCCACCCAGGCAGGCCCCTGACACCAATACAGGAGAAGGAGCTAAGAAAGGTGCTAAGGCAATAGACTTCCAAAATTGGTTTTCTGGGTTTGAAGGCTTGGGGCCATAGTGCCATGGGACAATTCAGTCAATTAGTATAACATAGTTCACAAAAATCATGATCCGTATCCTAGTGAAGTGAGTAGAATCTATGGTGGCCATCTGAAACAGAACTACAAGTCCTGACCTGCCAGGAGCAAAACAGTAAGAAGGTAACCAAAAGAGGAGAGAAGAAACAAGTTTACATGTGCTATAACCACATCTACCCTGAGAACAGAAGAAGTAGATGGTGCCCAGCTACAACCATGGACCATTCTGAATGGGGGCATGATAGATAATAGATAACAGAATGGGAGAAAAATGGAGTAGAACTCAAATTCTTATTTTAAAAAAAAAAGCAAAAAAGCCAGACAAACTGGAACAGTAGAGAACAGAGATTATCACCCTGAGATACTCTTTAAACCTAGTATCTGTATGTTCTGTAAGAATGTCCAGGTATATAGTATAACTGACAACGGACAAGGTTGTAGTCACTTGGCCACAGCCAGCTACCCAGATGGAGTGAGTAGTTGGACCTGTGGGCTCAGGGCCATGGTCCCAGCGGATATCAAGCTCAATTGACATAATATACTACACAAAAACATCCTACTTCGATGACTAGCAACTGGGATCTTAAAAGCTTGCAAGCAGCCATCTAGATGCAACGATGGGTCTCTCCTTGGTCAGAGCAAAGAAGAATGAAGAAAACCAAAGACGCATAGAAACAATCAGTCCAAGGGACTGATACACCACGCAATCCTCAGCCTATATGACTATGAGACCAGAAGAACTAGATGGCACCCGGCTACCACTATTAACCACTTGAGGGAGATCTATGTAGGAGATCCTGGATAGAGTGGGAGTACAATGTAGGACAAAACTCAAAATAATTAAAAAAAAAAAAAGACCAAGTTTGCTGGTCTGATAGAGCCTGGTGAAACCCCTGAGATTATGGCCCCTAGCTACCCTTCAGATCTGGAACTGAACCCACTCCTATGGCTTCCAGCCAAACAAAAGACAGGCATATGAGCTGAACATTTACATTAGGGAGATACTCTCCTTGGAGAGATCAATCATGGGAGAAGAGAAGGGCTGTGTATGCACAGGGAGACAGCTCAGGGGGTAGGAGTGCATGAAGAAAGGACACAGAGAAGAGGTAAATGTGGGGAGGAAGTCAAAAGAGAGCTGTTGGGAAATGCAATCAATGTCATGAGACAAAGTGTATGTGAACTGCTGTATGGAAGATGAATTTGCTCTGTAAACTTTCACCCAAATCACAATAAATATTAAAAAAATAAAACCTAGAACTGAGCCTATCCCCTGCAATCACCTTTTCATGAAATAGCAGAGTGGCACACAAAATAAAGGATATTACTCATAAGATTGGTGCTGCCCTACTTAAAAAACATCAGTATGAGACCAAAAGGTCCACTATTACTCAAAAGCAAAGATGAGAAAGAGAAGGGGAAAGGGAAACTAGAGCACAGGAAAGGGAACAAACTGAACATAATAAAGAGACTGGTGGCACATTGTGATAAATGTAACTGAACAATTTGTATGTTGTTGTTGTTGTTGTTATGTGCTGTCGAGTCGGACCCGACTCATAGTGACCTCTCCTGGGTTTCCGAGGCAGTATCATTATGGAAGTAGATTGCCCAACCTTCCTTCTGAGGAGTGGCTGGTGGGTTTGACCACCAGCCTTCTGGTTAGCAGTCAAGTGCCTTAGGCACTACGTCACCAGAGCTCCTGAACAATTTGTGTGGACATTGTCAAACGGAACCTAACTTGGTGTGTAAACTTTCACCAAAAACTCAATAAAGTATTATGTTTTAAAGAGAGAGAAGGTATAAACTCCTAATCTCCCCACTCCCTTATCTCCTTACAGAGATGTGTCTTGGGTATTGCAGGTATGACACGTACCCCAGGCACCACTTGAGTCAGGGGAACCAATGAGCAGTTGCTATTCACCACTGCAATCTCCATCACCAGCTATGAAAGATCATTCAGCAATTTAAAATTAACACAGGTACTATTTTCCATAGATACACCTGTCTCCATAGCCCCTCAGAGCAGCCACCTTTTCACTGAAGAACTCAGAGAATCCCCTGCCTGGGACTCCAAAAAGGACCTCAGCCTGTTCCCTTGCTGGGTTAGTAGGCAAACAAGCTCTGCCTGGAGTCTGGCCCCACCAACCCAGCCCTGAGCTTTCCCCTGGACCCATCCTCAGACTTCCTCCAAGGCTGGAAAAACAAGCCCTCCATCGGTCCTGGTGCCCCTGTGAAAGACATCAATTGCTGGGCTGAGGCTCGTGCTGAGATACTTGCAGACCATGTGCCCTAAACAAGTCCAGTAGCCACTCCAGGGCTGTATCAGGCCCAGTACCAAGTACTCAGCACTTACATCTCATTTCAAGCTCACATCAACCCCTTATGGTTCTCCCTGAATAGAGAAGGAAACTTGGCTTCAAGAGTCCAGGACATTGCCCTGGCAAATACAGGGCAGAGATTAGAACCTTATCGGTAGGACTCCATGCTCAGGCTCATAATCACAACTTCAGATCCTCTGCTGTACTTCTAACCTCCAGGAGCCACTCTGCCTGCCTTGTTCCACCCATTTAGGTGGCCACTGGCACAAGCTGCAGAGGAGCAAAGTTCTTAGTTGACAGATTTGAAGGATTCTGAGTGTGAGGCAAGACCTGAACACATAACGTGTGACTTAAATCAGAACCATGTGGCTAATCAGCTGTCCCCTGGTTCCCCTGATTCCACATGTGTCACCAAGGCTGGGCCAGGCCTCCTGTAAGCCTGTTGTATCATGACTACATGGCTGGCCTACCCTCTGCCCAAGATCCAAGGTGGATCCAGCTGGTACCAGAGCCTGCTCCCTTCAACAGGGGGCCATCAGCAGCCTCCTGCTCACAAGTGTGATGGGCATCAGCCTTGCCCTCTGTCCAGCCCTAGGAGGCTCCTAGCTCTGACCCATCACAGCCAGAGGAGCTGATCATTAATGGGGCAGCCAAGCTGAAAGAGGGCCCAGTCCAAAACCCAGAGACTTCCCAGGTTCCGGTGCCCTACCCATACTGACTCCACCCCTTGCTCATTGGCACACCCAAAGTTTAGCTACACTAAGCCTTAGTTTTCTCAAAAGTAAAACAGTGAGGGCTACCGGCCTGACCTCACAGAGATTATGAGGATGAAATGTGATGCTGAGTGTAGGAAGTTTAGCAGGAACCCTGGCCACAGCCTGCACCTACAGTCCTCTGCTGTCGGGCCCTCTAGGTCACTCCAAGCCGTGGCGAGGGGTCACTGACCTTCAGAGCGCACTTCTGGCCTGTGCGCCGGTGGAAGCATTCGAGCACCTTGCCATTCACACCCAGGCCCAGCACCTGCTTGGACAACTGGTAGTCGTCTGTCACCGCGTACTTCTTGGGTTCCCGCCGCCCTCCAGAGCCGGGTCCACCGGGGGGGAGCACGGGCCCCCCCTGCTCCGCTGCTGTCTCGCCGTCCATGGCCCCCGCGGGGCACTCAAAAGCGGCCCCAGCCTGGCGCGTCCAGGACCACCTGAGAGAGAGAAGCGTGAGTCGCGTGAGCCCAGACTCCTGCAATTCACCCTAGTTCTGGAACTCCAAAGTTGGGCTGGGTTTCGGCGGGAGACATGGCTGGGAATGCGGCGCGAACCGCCTGAGTACTGCCGCGCGGCAAAAGGCGGTGGTTGCGCAGCCCGACACGAGCGAGCACAGCCTGGGCACGAGTTCACGAGGGAAAAGGGCCAGGCGCCGAGGGGCCGCGAGGTTAAGAGCGCGGGCGGCAGAGGGACTCAGAGAGGCTATACCTGGTGGGGGCGCGAGAGGGGCAGGGGCAGCGGCCGCAGGAGCGCAGGGCCGCCGAGCGCCCTGGGCCGAGAGTCTTGCGGCCGTCGGCCCACGTGACCGCCCCAGCGCGTCATCCCGACTTTGGGCCCCGCTTGGTGAGCCTTAAAGGGCCAGGCCGGCCCCAGCAGGGCAGGAACGGAGCCTTGGGCAGGCCCCGCCCCGGAGACTGAGTAGAAATAAAGATGGGCGGGGCTTATTGAGGGGCGGTAATCTCCCTGGCTCTGTGGGCGGTCCTGGGAGAACCTCGCGCCGAAGTACCCCAGTTTTGAGTGGTCTGTGCGAGCCTGGAATTGTATAGGCAACATAGGAGGTAGCAAAGCAGAACATCTTACTTGTCTTGGAGCCTCAGGTATCCACCTGAATCAGGTTGTGTGCTCTGCAAGCTACCTGGCGGCCCTCCCTGGCGTGCAGGTCTGGAAGCTTACGACTTCCCTAGTGTCAGCCAACCACCAGCATACTCAATTTCGGAATGTTTGCCAACATGTTGGGCAAAGTAGCATTTCCTTGGTATTGCATTCGCTACGCTCTGCCCAGTAACTCAGGGCGTCTCCGCCGCACTAGAAGCCTGTCTGCTTCTGTGCACCTCTTGCTCATACCCTTGGCTCATTTTTTTTCCCTTACGGAACAGCGTCCTTCTACCAGAAATCCTCAGTTTCCATTTGGTCAGATCCATCAACTTTTCACCCCACGGTTTGGACTTGGGTGTTGTGTTTTAAAAGTTGTCGCCTCCTGGTGACACAAATATTTTCTATTCTCTTTGTAGTTTTCCCTTCCACATTTAGGTCTCTATTTCATTCTGGTAGCATAATGGCTAAAGCACTTGACTGCTAACCAGGAGGCTGGCGGTTCAAACCCACCAGCCACTCCTCGGAAGGAAGGTTGGGCAATCTACTTCCGTAGTGATACTGCTTTGGAAACCCAAGGAGGGGTCGCTATGAGTCAGGAGTGACTCAACGGCACATAACAACAACAACATTTCATTCTGAGCCCACCTGCTAAGGTAACCCGTCACATATTTTTAGCCAGTTTTCCCAGTACAGGCTACTAAACAATGCCCATTTTATAGGTGAGGAAAATGAGGCTCCCAGAGAGAAAACAATTTATCTAGAGCCACACGGTAGGAGTTGCTCCCTGGGACTTACATTCACTACTCCTACAAATCCTCCAGCCTCACATTGTTGTTGTTATTATGTGCCGTGGAGTCGGCCCCGACTCATAGCGACCGCTCCTTGGGTTTCCGAGGCAGTATATCATTACGGAAGTAGGATTGCCCAACATTCCTTCCGAGGAGTGGCTGGTGGGTTTGAACCGCCAGCCTTCTGGTTAGCAGTCAAGTGCTTTAGCCACTATGCTACCAGAGCTCCTAAGCGAGTGGAAATGTGCAGCGTTGGGCAGACCTCTGCTGCCATCTACAGACTACCTGCAGGACTGCAGGCACCAGCCGCGGTCCCGCTCCAAAGGTCTCTCCTATCATCCTCCTCCGGACTGAATTGCAATCTGGCTGGCCGTCCCACTCTGTATCCTCGCGTGCTCACACACACACACTCGCACACACGTAGACACTGGGACTGCAGGAACAGACCCATCTCCTGAGGGCAAGCACTTGTGCCCTTCTCAGGCAGTTGCCTCCGTGGGTGCTTGATGAACATTCCTAGAATGAGGGAGGGAGAGAGTGGAGTGAGTGAGGGAGGGAGTGAAGCAATGCTATAGATATTGGCGGTTGCAGTGTGCAAGCACTGAGTGGGGCTAAGGATGCAGGGACTCTGTCCCAGTCTCCTGGAGGCAGCCTTCAAGTTCAGCAGAGTTCAGTGAAGCAGGAATCCCAGCGGATAATCTCAGCTGGCCTTAATGAAATCCTTTTTTCGGTCCAGACACTGGTAGGTGCTTCCTACCACCTCAGTTCCATGATCTCTCTACCACCAGAGTAGGGAGGGCTGTACATATTCCCCAGTATCACAGTCAACTCCAGGGAGGACAAAAGACCTTCTGAACCCCAAAGCACAGTTCCAGCGCCCAGCTCTTATTCAATCTGTGTTCTCCTTTCATGTATTTCTCCATCCCCCTAGACAAAACCACAAGCACAAACATATGCTCACATATATTCACACATGTACACTCACACATGTACACATACGCACACTCACATGCTTACACATGTGCATATACACACTGAGACAGACACACACTTGGTCGGATAGGACATTGTGGTTACCTACTGCCGCTTTGACAAGAAATATACCACAAATGAGATGGCCTTAACAAACAGAAGTTTGTTCTTACAATTTGGAGGTTTTAAGTCCAAGTTCAAAGTGCCAGGCTCTAGGGGCTGGGTGAAAGCCTCTCAACTTTGGGGTCCAACTCTGCCTCCTGCTTCCAGCCCACTAGAGCTAGAGGCATTTTTTCACTCAGACAGCTGCTGACTGGCTGAGTCAGTAAAAAGGCACAGTCCCAATGTTACCAAACCACACAGCAGGCCATTAACTTAAGCCCATTGTAAGTCTCGAGGTCAGCAGAGCATAGCAGGCTGCTGAGCAATGACACGGCTACATGCAGGGTCCAAGCATGCCATAGGCTAGAGATCATTCCCAAGGATTCTCCTTATATACAGGAAGCAGACTACATCCCAAAGGCAGCTACTCAGCTGCTTGTGGTAGATCCCACCATGGAGTTGAATGCCAGTCTCATCATGGGGAATAACTACCACCAGCTGCCCAGCCACTCATCCAGGCCCAACCAAGCTGACACACAAACGTAACTACCACAGACATGCACACTAACACACATGCACATGTGTAACCACATGTACACATGAACACATACATATATGCACATGTGCACACACTCACTCACATTTATGCCTAGATGGATCTAGGACTTCTATTTCTAAGCCCCACCTGAGAATCTAATCCAAGATCTCTGAGCCTGGGGGAAAAAAAAAAAGCTCACTGCCATCAAGTTGATTCCCACTCATAGCAACCTCCACTGGGTTTCCAAGGTGGTGAATCTTTAAGTAGATTTCCCAGTCTTCCTTCTGCAGAGTGGCTGGTGGGTTTGAACCACCAACTTTCTGGCTAGCAGCCAGATGCCTTAAGTACTGTGCCACCAGAGCCTGGGAGGAAGCCCTGTAACCTAGGAACTTCAGCTGCTTAGAGGGTGGAGAAGGAACTGCTTTCTGGAGGTAGCTGGTTTAGGCTGAGCAAAGGCAAGGCTGAGTAAGGTCTCATTCTGGGCAGGTACGGTCCTGTGTAAGCAGAGGGCTATACAGCAGAGGGTGGAAGTTGGCTCCTTGCCCCCACCCCCACCCCCAGCCCAGGACATGTGGTGCATGTGTGGTCTCCATGAAGATGTCTTCTTTTCTAAAAATGAAGTTAGGCTGCAATTGCTCTAAAATTTTATAATTGTGCTTTTGAAGCTTGTCTCTTTTTATTAAAATTTTTAATTGCACAAGTAAAACTTACTTGTAATAAATTCAAACAATACAGAAGTATAAAGAGTAAGCAATGGTGATGCCTCTCCTCATGCAGTCCCTGTAACTGCTGCTCATACTGATAGGCACGCACATTCCTCACATAGGTCCGACATAGACAGATGTTCTGCAACTGCTCATTTAATTCAAGACAGTCAGGACATGGCTTACCTTCACTGTTTGTGTTCTATGGTTTAAAAGGGCCAGCGTTCATTAGTCCAGCAACTGTATGCACATCTACCTTCATACTGATGGAAAGAGGCAGGATGCGGGATGGCGGGGACTGGGCAGGTTTATGGTAGCTGACTCTGCTGCATAGCCCTCTATAATAGCTATGTGTCTGAAGAGAAAGGGGTCTGAGAACTTAGGAACAGCTCAAAGACAGGGAGAGGGCTTGCACTTAAGAGCAGCTAGAGACAAAAGGAGCCAGACTTTTATGAAGAGAAGTTCTGTGGATTCTTGGAGCCCATATTGTAACTGTTCTAGGTGGGAAGGGATAGAAGGATCCTGTGGCAAGGCCAAATCCTGGGGTTCAGAGAAAGGGTTCTCTTGGAAGGAGCATCTATGGAGGGAAGGTGAAGCCGTGACAGGGTGCCACTAGGTGGCAGTGTGGACCCAGCAGTCACAATAGGGAATGGCCAGGGCAGTGATAACTTACTAGATGGCCTGAGGAACCTGCAAGGCTTGGGGACCTGGGGCGGCGGGGGCCTGGGGCGACAGGCACCAGATGGGCACACCAATGTTCCCAGTATGCAGGTTGAGATGCACAGTGCTATCAAATTTGCAAAGGGTCGATAAGGCCAAAATCTTTGGGACCCTTTGGTTTGCACTCAGAATTACCCAATCACTGACCTCTATGGGGGATACTTTCAAGAGGACACCATAGTTCTCTAACACTGACCGGCCTGGGGCAGCGGAACTTCACTGAAAGGCCTTCAAGCTGGAGGATGCCTAGGAATTGGCAAGTCGTAGGAACCCAGACCTGGGGGGCAGGGGGTTGGGCTTCGGCTCTGATCCTCCAACTCATCACTTGCCAGTTGTGAGATCTGGGACACATTGTGTAACTGGGTAACCTCTGTGCCTCAGTTTCCTTGCATGCAAAGAAGGGATAATATCTGGTAGCTGTGACAATGAAATGAGTCAACACATGGATATTGCTGAGAGCACCCGTTATATAGAAGGCCCTCAGGAAGTCAAGGTTACAAGGAAGGAATAGAGTCTGGCCATAGAAAACATGGGCTTTGGAAGAGCTGAGTTCAAATCCCAATCTCATCAGTGTGCCAGCTGCAGGAGCCTCTTTGTCTTCACAGTAATAGTGGCATGGACGTTTCCCGGAGTCCTTGGGTGGTGCAAATGACTAACGTGCTCAGCTCTTAATGAAAAAGTTAGCAGTTTGAGTCCACCCAGAAGCACCATGAAAGAAAGGCCTAGTGATCTGATTCTGAGAAATTAGTCACTGAAAACTTCGGAGCACACAGTTCTACTCTGATACACAAGGCTGCCATGAGTCAGAATCAACTGGATGGCAAACGATCAGCTGTTGCTTTTGTTGTTATATGCCATCGAGTCAGACCCGACTCATAGCGACCCCTCCTTGGGTTTCCGAGGCAGTATCACTAAGGAAGTAGATTGCCTCATCTTCCTTCCGAGGAGTGGCTGGTGGGTTTGAACTGCCAGCCTTCTGGTTAGCAGACAAGTGCTTTAAACACTATGCTACCAGAGCTCCCAAATGATCAGCTAGACATGTTCTACTGATGAGACAGCACCCTACTCAAGGGCCCCATGCCAGGCTGATTACCCGCCTGTGCCCTCCTCCACAAAGAGATAACGGTGATCTTTGCCCTGCCCTCATGTGAAGAAACCAGCTTCCAGCCACACCTTCTCAGGTCAGGCCTTAGTGGGGCTACACCAAAGCCCAGCTTCCCTCCAGGAAACTTATTGTGAAGTGAGTCTCCTGAAACCATGTCTAATCTTAATCAATCATCTTTTCCTGTTTTACAGGGTTTTGGTTTCCCGGCGCCTCTATTTTTTGCCCTGACTCCCTCTGTAAGGCCTGGACACTTGTATTCAGGGCTCTGGACACTGGTAGGGGTTAGCATCCCTGCACAGGCTCACAGCTCTCCCTCTTCAGAGAATCTGGGGGTACACACTGGGTAAGCAATTGGAGGGGGAAGAGGGACCCTAGTACCCCAAAAAGGTCCACCCCCAGTCCTTCTGGTCCAAGGGCTTGGAAGAAGTGCACACAGGCCCTATAGTCCCGTGAGATGTTCACTGGTGAGCCCAATGGACTGGGAGAAGGTGGAGGGGGCTCAAAGGTAGAAGCACAGGCTTCTGATTCAGAGCTGGAATCAAATCCTGGCCCTGCCATATCCTAGTAAGGCATTTCATTCTCTGGGGGCTCAGTCTTCTTGCCTGCATAATGGGCCATGGACAGTTATGAAAGATCAAATATAGCAAGGGGTCTGTGTAGATGGAAAGGATATCACTGCTTCAACACTCTCACTTCCATCATGCCACCCTCATATTATCTCCATGAATTTGGAGCTCCCGATCTTCCTCCTTACATTTTTTGGGGTCCCACCAACCCGGATACTACATTGTCTCAAGGCTGACCTTCCCAGCCTCCCAAGTCAGCCACTTCTTCCCCGGAAGTGCTGGCCAAGATTGGATGGCCCTGCCTGGAATCCCTGGGTGGTGCAAGGATTAACACATTTGGCTGTTAACCAAATGGCTGGCGGTTCAGTCCACCCAGAGTGATCTCGGAAGAAAGATCTGGCAATCTATTTTTTAAAAATTAGCCACAGAAAATCTTGTGGACACACATGGAGTCGCCATGAGTCAGAGATGGTAACTAGTTGGTCGGCTGCTACCGCCCGAAGGCCAAGGGCCTGGTGTAAAAGGTTGGGATGGAACATATCCTCCACCACTTTCAGAGAAAACGTTTTTTGCCTGATCCTTTCGGCTGTGCTGGCTGCAGGCTCGCACCCCTCTCCACCCATGTGGGCTTGCTCGAGCTTGGGGCTGCCTCTAAACCTCGCCCCCCATTCATGCTCCTCTTCAAACCTCACCACCTTCCGCAACCGCATTCTCACAGAGGCCTGGGGGGGGGGGTCAAGCGCAGCCCACGGGGGGCGCTCGCATGCCCGAACAGAACCTCCTGGAGGATCTGCTGCGGCGAGGCCGGCCCGAAACTCCGACCCGCGCTCCCTCCGGTACGTCTGTGAGATACCGGAACTCGTCAGTGAACAGAGTCCCCGAAGACGTCTGGGCTTGTGTCGGTGAAACCCCCGCCCAACACTAGCCTCTCCGCCCTCTAACCCCAGGCTCCAGTCTTTCCATGAAGGTCTCCCTGTTCCGCCCTGCCGTGATGCGTTGATTTGCGCGTTGCAATTGGCCCACCCCGGCTCTTCGGCTTCGCCCTCTGCGCTGCGATTGGGCGGCCCGCGAGATCCCGCCCGTTTTCCTGGAAAGTTCTTGGAAATCTGTCAAAGGTGTTTCCTTTCACTGCCAGTGGTCCCCGAAGCGAGTCCCCAAGTCCCCGCCCGCGCCGCCGCGCAGCCTGCGATTCTAGGAAGACGCGGCTTCCGGGAAGGGCTGGGACGCGGCGGACAAAAGATTAGGCGGAGGCTCGCCCCGCCCCGTCCGCTGGGCCCGCCTCCCGCGCCCTCCCATGCGGTCGGTGTCACAGCCTCTCAGTTGGTGCTTGCGGCTGTGCGCCCCAGGAGACCGCGCTTCACACTCACCGGCTCCCTCCAGCCTCCGCCTCCCGGCCGAGCGCCCCCTCCGGAACTGCCACCGCCGCCGGGCCTCCGGGACATGGTCCTCTGCGTTCAGGGGTAAATGCTGCTCTCTGCCCTTGCCCAGCCTTTGCGCTGGACGTCCGGTGGAGCGCGGGCCTCGTGCTGGTTGGGCGTTGGGAGGGCTTACCGGGTCGGAGCTGGCTGAGTGGGAACGACCTCGGGAGTGCGAGGCTGTGTGAGATTGACACCACCCCTCTCCCCAGACCTCTGCCCAATCTATGGGTAGCGAAAACTGAGGGCTGGGCGCGACGGAAGGAACACAGGATTTACTCAGCCATCAAAATGTGGCTCACAAGCCCAGATTCCCTTCTGGGGCAGGCAGTGAGTGCCCTTACCCCAGACTGCTACCCACTCTGTTGATGACCTTGGGCTGCCTCTGCTCCTCTCTGTCCCATTGTCGCTGCCTTAGTGTACCATTTAGGCCCTTGGGAAGCCAACATGAGATCCTTGCGTCTTCCCCCAGCCTGGCACCTCTTGAGGCAGCCTGGGGTTAGCTTGGTCCTGCCTGGAACACCCCCACTATCGCCTCACTCTTTCTTTCAACCCAGCCTGGAATCCCAGTGGGAGAAGGACCTTGACTCTTGCCCCTTTCTCCAAGTTTTCCAGAGGCGTGGGTGGGGGGTGCTGATAAAACAGTCATGGCCTCAGCAGTGGGCCTCAAAATCCCCTTAACCAAAAAGGCTCATGCTCTCCACACCCATGTGTCAGAAGCTCTGGAGGCTTCAGGGAGAGAGAGAGAGGTGGTGTGACTGGGTGCTCTACTCCCAAGGAGAGCCAGGTGGTCCCATGGCTGCTGTTATCAGAACTGGCATGATGCCAAAAGAGTGGGAGGTGAGGTGAGGCTGATGTGACCTTTGCTCTGAGCAGTCCTCAGTCCATCAAGGGGAAACTTGAAAGTGCTTAGAAGACTTGTTATTAGTTGCCATCTAGTCAATTCTGACTCATGGCAATCCCATGTATTAGAGAGTAGAATTGTTCCATATGGTTTCCTTGACTATAGTCTTAATGGAAGCAGATTGCCAGGTCTTTTTTTCCACAGTGACACTCGGTGGATTTGAATCACCAATCTTTAGGTTAATGGTGAAGTGTAAACTGTTTGTACCGTCTAGGAACTTAGGCGACTGCTTCTCCCTGATTGTCTCCAATACTCCCCTTCTTCCTCCTCTCTGACTTTTGGCCCTCCTCAACACCTCCCCACCACTGCCTTCCTCTTTGGGAACCTCTTCCTCCCCATCCTGGAGTCCTATAATCTCTTTCATTTTAGCCCAGCTGAGGGCTCCCTAGGAAATTCACGACCAGTGTTAAATGTGGGAGAACAAGGTTTTTAACAGACTGCCCCCCTACCCTGCACACACACACACATATACATACATAGCCATAATCCAGCTGGTACCCCTCTGGAATGGGAAACAGGGATTTTCAACTGTAAGTTTGGTCTGCCAACCTTGCTGGCAGGTCTCCCCAAGGACTAAGTTCTCCCCTATAGTGTGTGTGTGTGTGTGTGTGTGTGTGTGTGTTTAGACAGGACACACAAGCTAGGCTCTACAGCAGGCACATACACGCATAGGCCACCTACACCTAGAACACACCAGCCACCACCCTTATCATGAAGATGACACAGCTGTGGACACACCCCTGCCCAGAAACATTTCAACAGGAGCTTGGGAGGACCAACACAACTATTCACACACATGTACCACATTGGCCCCAAAGGTGCCCATGCCTACATGTAGGATCTATACTGAGGCACTGCTAAGCTGTCTGGACATGGCTACACCCACAGGCTCTGGCCTGGTCAGCCAGACACCTATCATGCTCCTGGAAGGCACCTGGGCCTGGCTCTAGGCTGAGCTCTGAGCGACCAGAGTGGGCAGGCCACTGGCCACTTCCTCAGAACTTGGCCTCCAGCTCCCTGAGCAGGATTCCAGAGCTCCCACAGTGCAGCCAGGGTGAATGTGGAAAAGTACTGGGCAGGCTGTGATATGCTAGGGTTATGTGGCCCTTTCTTCCTGTGAGGCCCTGCTTTGTTAGAACCCTCTAGGGGTCACCTGTAACCTGCACTATTCAGGTCTGGTATTTGAGGCTCCTGCCTGCCTCTCCCTGCGTCATAGACCATAGCTGGCACGGTTTCCTGCTCCCAGGCCTTGGTCATTCTGCCATCTCTACTTAGATGGGTACCAACCTTTCCTTTGCTCCTTCCTTTGGCCTGGCAGACTCGGTTCAGAAGATTCTGATGTTCCCATGATACTCTGTGTTTTTATGGCTTTGGGTTATAATTACCTTCAGTGCCAGCTACCCCAGCCAGTCTGGTTCTCCTTGAGGGCAGGGCCCATGATTTCATTATCTGAGGCCCAGGGATGTATTTTGTAAGAAATGAGGGAGGAACAGCAATACCTTCCCTGGGAAACAAGACTCACCAGCCCTCATCCCCTGCTCCCAGGGAGGAAGGTCCAGGCTGGCCATGCTAGTGGGCTTCCCCTAGAGGGAAACTACTGCTTAGATTGGGGCCAGCTCAGCTCCCCAGCCCTAGCAATCCAAGGATATGATGTTGCCAAACCCCTCAGTGTCTCTGTTGGTGGGACCTTTTATGGGGTTGGGGGACTGAGACCCAATGAGAAGCAGGGTTTGTACAAGATCACAGGGCCTGGTATAGCAGAGCTGGCTTGCTGGGGTAAGATCTAGAACATGGTCTTTAACAGGAGCTATGTTTATTGGACTGTCATGCTTCAGAGGCCTTGGTCCACCTCATACTTCTTGGCTCTGAAGAGCAGAGGCCAGGATGGGAGTCAGAGTCTGACTTATAGGGGTAGAGGATTGTTCCAACTGCCAGTGTGGGTGCAGGTCTTTCCACCAGACACTCCTGTCCATGGGGGTGGTAGGTTGTGACCTCAGACTTCCTACTATAGTCTTGGGACCTCTCTGGAAGACCCTATATGGGCCCATCCCACATGTCAACCTGGATCAGTGCCACTTAATCAGCCCTCCTCAACAAGGAAGACACAAACATGTGGTTTCTTTGGACTGGATCACACCAGGGACACTGACTAGCTACCATGAACTAGAAATGCCTATAGCAAATGACCTGTGTTTTTGATTGGTACAAAAAGGAGAGAGAGGTTAAGGACTGTTAATAAATGTAGCAGGTAGAATGGAAAGAGAAAGACTGTGTCAGAGGGATGGAGGCCCAAAACATCAAAAGCAACTCAGATCATGTACAATTTTATTAAGTCAGCCTCTTATGAATGCTTTTCTTATTTATCTTTCGTTCTGGTGTTCTCAAGTTTTGGATTAAATAAGATAAAAGTGTAAACCATTCCCATCCCTAGCACATAATGAATACAAAATAAATGGCAATTATCCTTTCTTGCACAAATAAATAAATGTATTGGGTGGAAAGAATTTTTCAAAAGAGAGTTCACGTGTGGGTGACGCAATTAAGGGAGGCTTCTGTGATGACAGAGTGGTGGAGGGGGCAATGCAGGGTTCATTGAGCCCATGGGTGGGCAGATGGGAAATTGAGGCTTATAGAGAAAAGGGCTGGCCAGAAGCCATATAGCCAATCTGGGGCCCGGGGGATCTCTGGAATGGGAGGAGACCATGGACTCTCCACTCACTGCCCATCCACCCCCTTCCATGCCCATCCACCCCCTTCCAGACCTTGTCATTTGCTGGCTGAGGAGCGGATTGGGCAGCAGCCCCTGAGGGCCTGCTCCCTGGAGCTGCCTGGGTCAGCCATGCAGCCCTTGCCTATGGGGGTCTTCCTGGAGGAGGTAGCAGAGGAGACCCCAGCCCAGCCAGAAAGTGAGCAGCCCAAGGTACTGGACCCCGAGGAGGATCTGCTGTGCATTGCCAAGACTTTCTCCTACCTCCGAGAGTCTGGTGAGTCTGAGGGGAGAAAGAGGCCGTGTCCTAGGGAGTCTAATGGGATAATCTTGGTTCTGCTCTGATAAGTTTGAATTGGGAGGCATGATCCTGCCCAGCAGTATCTGATGGAAGGGGTATAGCCCTCCCTGGGGAAATGTGAGGGGGAAGCATGGCCCTGCCTTGCTCTGGGTTGATGCTCCCAGCTAATTTCCACTGTGATCAGTACCTTGTTTCTCCTCTCCACTTGCCTAGGCTGGTATTGGGGTTCTATTACGGCCAGCGAGGCCCGGCAACACCTGCAAAAGATGCCAGAGGGTACCTTCCTAGTACGCGATAGCACCCACCCCAGCTACCTGTTCACACTGTCTGTCAAGACCACCCGTGGCCCCACCAATGTGCGCATTGAGTACGCTGACTCCAGCTTCCGCTTGGACTCCAATTGCCTGTCCAGGCCACGCATCCTGGCTTTCCCAGATGTGGTCAGCCTTGTGCAGCACTACGTGGCCTCCTGTGCTGCCGACACCCGAAGTGACAGCCCTGACCCCTCTCCTGCCCCAGCCCTGCCTACCCCCAAGGAGGATGCTACCAGCAATGCAGTGCTACCTGCCCCCACAGCCACTGCTGTGCACCTGAAACTGGTGCAGCCCTTTGTGCGCAGAAGCAGTGCCCGTAGCCTGCAGCACCTGTGCCGCCTTGTCATCAACCGGCTTGTGGCCGACGTGGATTGCCTGCCGCTGCCCCGGCGCATGGCCGACTACCTCCGACAGTATCCCTTCCAGCTCTGACCCAGATGGACACCTCACCCAGCCACATCCTGGAGGGGACATTGGCCTCAACTGGACTTGGGCTCCCATTATCTCTCCTTTGATCATCCTGGTGCCTTCGTGAATCTGGCAGCTGGATCAGAAGAACCAGCAGAGAAGGGGGTTGTCTCACTACTTGGAGGTCAGCACCCTCTTTTCCCATGTGGCTCCGATGTGGTGATCCATGTCTCACAGGAAAAGGAGACAGGCAGGATCTCGTCTCACCCTGAGGGCTGAGCCCAGGCCTCTACTTGGTTGCCTACCCAGCCACCTGTACTGCATAGACTTCCCCAGCCCTAATTCCTCAATTTGCAGCATGGGGCGGGCCCCCTTCCTCCAGCCAGCCTCCACCTCAGGGAGGATGGAGGCCAGAGGAACTGAGGTTGACAATGACAGACCCCTTGCTGGGGAGCAGGCCAGGCTGGGGGACTACACAGTTATACAGTATTTATTTATTTATTTTCCTTGAGGTTGGTTTCTGATCCCACCTCTCTGTCTCCAGCCCCGGGTGGCCTGGAGTCCCCAGCTCTGCCCTGACTTCTTTGGTTCCTCCCTATGGAGAGACATGTTCTGAGATGTGTTGCTAGACCCAAGCCAGTCCTGGATGTCCTGGCACTGACCCACCTGCAAGACTCAGCCTTCACCTGTGAACATGTCCACTCTTCTCTGCCCCAGTCCTGTCTTGGGAGAGTAGGCAGATGGACAAGAAAACAGAGCCAAAGCTGCAGTTCCCAGCAGAGCCTACCGCTCTCCCAGCTCGGGCAGGGCTGAATCTGCACAGAGCTGGTATCTGCACAGAGCTGGTCTCACCATGCTTCAGCCCCTGCCCGAATACATGTGCTGTGTCGGGAAGGGGGTGCTAGTTCAAGAGCTGACACTCCCACCAGCTCTGCTAGGTCTGCACCCTATGCTTTCCTAGGACCCCACAAAGGTGGCTGCACATGAGAAAGAAATACGCATCTGGTGAGACTTTATATAAAATAATTGTTATAACAAAAAGTCTAGTTTGGTAGTCTTTTACTGATTTTTCTGTAATCACAATAAAATTGTACCTTTTATTGACGGAGTTCTCAGTGGGGCCTGTGCTGAGTTGTGTACATAGTTTATCCCTTCTGATCTGTCATTAACTCCCATTTCACAGATGGGCCAGCCAAGACCCAGGGACCTTATATGGCTGAGCAGCCAGCTGTGTTGGGGGGCTCAGTGAAAAGTGGGGAAAACAGGGAGCAGCCTTTCTCCTCTTGTTTTCCCTCACTCCCCTCGGGGTATGGGAGGCAGCAGATGGAGGCCAGTGGAACTGCATCAGGGTCACTGCTCAGGCCACTCCTGGGCGACAGGTGGTGGCAGAGTAATGCCATACCTGAGAAATGTGTAACCAGGAAGATCTAAAGTGGAGGATACTGGGGTGGGGAGGGTGCTGTGGACCACTCTGGGTGGCACCACATTTTCAGAGAGGAGGAGGCCAATAGCGAAATTGGGGCCAGACGTTGCAAGAAGAAACTGAGTGCAAAGGCACTAGGGCATGACTGGGAGGGTCATCATGTTCCCACCCACAGACTTGTTATATAGTAGGGCAGGGCAGTTGAGTTGGGCTGGTAGGATCTGACCTGAGGTAGGTGCTGTCAGGATTGTGGTCCAGGCTGGTTGGTTGAGGAACCCTCTCTTCTCACTCAAGGTCCTGCAACCAGTAGTGAGTGGAAGAGCAATTAAAATGAAAACACCCTACGTTATCAAGAAGGCTGACACTGGGACACTTCAGCTCCTGGAACCCCCTATGTCCTGAGATTTTCTGTACCTTTGCTCAAGAGTCTGTCTCACTGAGAAAGCTCTGGCTCATAGCTTCCTTACCTTGGCTTTGGAAACTCCTGAACTTTTCCTGTTTTCTCAGCCCTCACAAGATTAGATGGTAAGATTAGAAAAGGGAAGGGGTAGTGGATTGAAAGCAGGAAGGGGTGAGGAGTGACATATTGATGACAAAGAAAAGGCAAGAAAAGGATAAAAAGTAAGAATGGGGGCCCAAGACCCTGGGGGCATGGAGATGGTGAGGCAAAGAAAGGGGCTGAAGTTTGGTAAGAGTGAGAGGTAGGCAAGGGAGTGAGAGCTATCTTTCCTGGAAATGGTGCCCAGACCCAGCTACCCAGCCTGGCACTTGCCCTGTTGCTGGCAAAAGCCTGGGATCCTGGCTGGCTGAGGGGCCTGATGGCATATCTCTTCTAGGTCATCATGGCCCTGCCAGAGATGTCTGTGGTTCCTCATTCTTTCAGCCTGGTCCTCAGCTCCTTTACTTCTCTTCCAGAATACCTGAATTTACCCCTCCATCTACTCCACTTCCTGATCTGAGTCACCCAGTGGGCATGTGGTGGGACATGGAGGGGCTAGAGGTGGGCTATCTCCAACCTGGGGCCACAGCCTGGACAGAAAGCTGTTGTGGCAAGAGGAACTGCAGAAAACTCTTCACTGTCCCCAGTTGGCTGCAAAGTGCCAAGCATTAGGCATGGGCTTTGCAAGTATCATACAGTGCTCACCGCAACCTTGGAAGTGAGTCCAAATGTTCTTCCATAGGTAAGGAAACCAAGGCTCAGAGGGGGCATGGAGATGTTTGAGCCCATGTAGTAAGGGTGATGCAGTGCAGAACTAATCCCTGGGGGTCTCAGCTTCCCATGCATCCACTAGATTGCTACATGAGAGGAGTGGGACAGACAGGCAGGGCAGGGAATGACAGATACCGGGGCAGTGGCTCCCATGCATGTTGGTTTTGGATGCTGGATTCTATGTCCATGGCTCCCTGCCTACTGAGTGCTCCTGAGCCATTCGCCTGGCCAATGAGCCCTGCCCCCTCACCTCTGCCTCTGCTTCAGCCAGAGGCCAGTTCTTGCCCAGAAAGGGACAACCAGCTACTCCCACCTCTGCCAACATTTTCCTGGTTTACATATTTCTCTTTTACATATTTCCCTACCTGAGAGTAAGGGGTGCCTACCAAGAGCAGGGACAGCAGAAGTCATGTCAAAGGGCCCCAGACTCAAGTCAGAGACCCAGCCTAACAGACGCAATCATCCCTGGGTGATGTGGTACCAGAGAAAGGGGCATCCCTGCTGGCACTGGTCTGGAAGAAAGAGGTGAGCTATCTGTTGGAGGCACAACACACAAAGGGTAACTGATAGCCTTTGCCAATTAACTCCTTCACCAGCACAAACACTGCTTGGGCACTAATTGGGCCAGACTAGGCCTTGAGGACACAGTAAGGAGCAAGACTGGCACAGTCCCATCCTCATGGGGCTCATGGCCTGGTGGGAGAGACAGTGAACATGTGAATGGTCACACAGAACACGTTCAGAGAGTGTAAAGAGAACAAGGGCTGGGGAACAGTGAGTGGCTTTGGGTGTGGGTGTAGGGGCAATGCTTCAGTTGAGGGGTTGAGGGGAGTCTCTGGAGTAGGCTGGCACTGAGCCTGGACACCCAAATAAAGAGCAGGGAATGGCCGTGCAGACAACTTGGGGAGAGTATCCTAGGTGAGAAGAACTGCCAGTGCAATAGTTCTGAGGTGGGAACAGACCTGATATGATCAGAAGCTGGGGTTCAGAGTAGCTGCCCAAGAGGGCTGAGGAGATGAAAGAGGGGTGGGAACCCAGAGGGGCACAGGCCTGAGCACTTGGACTTGATCCTAGCATACTGGAGTGCCTCTTCAGAGTTTAGCAGGGAAGTGCCATGATCCAATGGTCATTTCTAAGGCCTGCACCTATCTGGGTGTATTTGGGTGGGGATGACTCCTTGAGAGTCTGGGGCCACAGGCCCAGCTAGAAGGTTGAGAGGTATGGAATTTGTAAGGGTGGGGTGCAGTGAGAATAGGAGGAGGCAAGAGTGACAAGTTGGCAACCTTGGGTCTGGGTCTGCCCACTGAGTTCTCACTGCAGCCCTGCACACCAGCAGTGGTTGTCCCTCTACAGCTGTAGAGGTTAGGCTCAGAGAAGGATAATGGCTTGCTCAGGATCACACAGCTCATGAGAGGCAGAGCCAGGGTTCAAACCTTGACTCCAGACCTTGTTTGTACAGACTACTGTTCCACCCTGCCTCCAAGGGGCTGACCTGTTAAAGTGTTGGCACCTAGAAGGTGCTGAGGGCAGGAGGAAGGAGTAGAGAAATTCAGGAGGGCTTCCTGGAGGAAGATGCCCTGGAGGATTCTGCCAGGCCACAGGGAGGTGAGTTTGGAGTTTGATCCTTCTCAATGTCCCTTCCTGGACTTGAAACTTCCCTTCTGGGGTGACTTTGGGACAGAAATTCCACTAGGCCACCCAGGTTTCTCTTGTTGGTGAGAGGTTTATAATTGGCCAGCATCTTGCTGGGATGCTTCACTAATGATCACTGAGTGTACCAACATTCTCCAGGGCCCCTGCAAGGCTTTTAATCTGCCACTGAGCAAATCTTGCTGGGCTAAGTCTGGACCTGGGTCTGAATGGGCCTGATCCATGGCCTGACCCAGCTCCTCTCTTGGGCAGGAGCCCTCCGGCCCTGCATGATTGCCCACAGTGAAGGGTGTGTGTGTGTGTGTGTGTGTGTGTGTGTGTGTGTAGGGGTGGATCCCGGAGCCTGAAATAAGGCCTGAGCAAGAAGGCAGGAGGACTCAGGGTCTGTGCACAAGTCATCCTGGCCCTCTGAGGGCCCCAAAGGAGAAATGGGGCCTGTGCAGACCTGGGCAGCCCTTTTGGACCAACCTGTCAGACCAGTTTTAATATAGAGCAAGTTGAGCTGTGCCAGAAATTCAAATGTGTCCTCCTCATTCCCACTGAATGGGGTGGGGCTCCCTCCTGGTTTAGAAGGGTCCCACACAGGCTACCCAGGGGGTCATTTCAGTGGTCACTCTGGGGCAGCAGGCTGGAGCTCCCACATCTGAGACTTATGACAGAGAAGGACCCTGGAAGCTAATTTCTGGCCAGCATGCTTCCCCCACCCCACCCCTGGCTTTAACCCCCATTCCACCCCAATCT